GACTTATTTAGAAAGGTGTATTAATCATGACTTGATGTGAAAAATAGCACTGGCATAACTTTTCTGTGTAATGTGCAGCCCATTTTCTCAAGGAGCCACTAAAAACTAAGCCAGTAATCCTGGAACTGATCTCACAACAAAAGGAAGAGGTGTTCTCTGCTCTTTTTCTGTGTTGCATTGTTTGCACTGAAGGACAAGAGCCACCTTGTTGGACATTGTCCAATATATATTTGCTTGAGTGCCCACTGTTACACTGCAGTAAATGAAAGGTAACCTTCTTCTACATGAAAAGGAAGTAAATTGGTGCATTTTTACTGCAGGATTTAAACATACATATAGAAACTTATCAGAGAGTATCTGGTATTTACAAACTCCCAGCCTTGTTTATCTTGCAGTAACCTGTTCTATCTAATTCCCATGGTCTCAGGAAACCATTGCAATGGACAAAGTGGTAAGCAAAGTTTGTGATATAGGAGGAAACTCCAAGAGACTGAAACTTGATTCCCTTGAAAAGCCTTGAAAAGCAGCAACAGTTGGGGTTTTCTCTGCTGATGTCAGCTGGGTTTGGATTAAGCCCCATCTTTTGTCCTTAAGCAAAAAAAGTAGGTTGCTGTAATCTTGCAGGAGTTCAGAGATGATGTCTTGAGGCTGCACCAGGCTGTGAACAGCTCAGGCAAAATGTAAAGTCTTGACATCATTTTGCCATCATGTGAATGTTTTTGAGTCTGCCAGGCCCTGCAGAAATTGGGGAGGAGGGCTCCTGTCGTCATTATCTTGCTTGGATGAGGCTCTCTCTGAGAAGTATTAGCCACCACCAGATGAGTTCAAAATGTGAGTTTCTTCATATTTTTTCTGTCCTGCAGTTGCCAAAGCTCCTCCTGTTTTAGTAGCTGTTGCAGAGCGTCTCTTCACTAACAGGTCTTGAGCAACTGTTGCTTTTTTCTTTCCTTTCATGCCACAGCCCATTATTAAGCAACTTTTAAAATACATACATACATATATAGATAATATATACATTCTTCAATGACTGGCTTGTACATTGAAGAGGTAGAAGGGACATGTCTGTGGGAGGTTTCGGTCTTGTTATGGCCTGAGGAAAACAAAGTTACTTGATTTTTCGTTTGTTTATTTTCTTTCTTTAGAAAGTATGTCTCTCCTCTTGTGGTGCTTTGGAATTTTTCCTAGAAAATTCACATTTCTGGTATCCACATATGTTAGTCTTTTTTGTGAAGAGAGGGTTTGTCCCAAATGCCACTCCATCAGAGAGATCACTTGCTGGGCTGCTCAGACACATACTTGGCAGATAGAGGAGGTGACAAAGGTGCCCAATGTCCAACATGATGAGGTGGTGCCCATGCGTGCAGGATCTGAAAAGGGGAGTGCTGCTTGTGGAGCAATGGATATGCCCAAAGTAAGGAGACTGGATCCTCCTTCCAGCAGTGAAATGGGAAGCAGTGCCACTGACCTACCATCATATCTCTACAGAACGTCCTAAGCCAACCCACTTTCCCATGTCCAGTATCAATGCAGTTATGGTCTCTCTGCTTCCAAATAGGTTTAAAGGCATATTTACCTTTTGAAGATTTTAATAGAATGCTGAAAAAAAATAAAATTAAAAAAATAATAAAGCATTTGTGGAACAATTGAGCTGAGTCATTTGGAGCATACATCATCTAATGTGTGTTACGTGGCAATTATCATGATGGCAATTCCCTTTTCCTTTAGTTCCACAGTTGTAACTCATGCTGCTTCTTCAGTCATACATCCAGCATTTTCTATGTCCACTGAGTTAAACCCTTATAGGTATAATTTTCATCACTAGACCTTTTCTCTCTATCTCAGACATATTAGCCATGCAATGACATTGCAAACAGTTCCAGCTATACAGAACCAGTTTACTAGTTACCCTGATTCACCAAATTCAGTATATCTCTGAGGTCCTTTGCCTTCTGGACATGTAGCTCCCTCTTCCAATATCATTACTATTGATTCCTCTTGTTTATTGTCCTAGAGGTCATTTTCTTTGGGCTATTGTCAACATTGCCTAACAGAAGCCTTTTCAGGAAGAGCAGCAAATCCTATGTCCTTTGTCTGTCTGTGTGTCAGAATCTGAAGGTGTTTAATCTTCGACATATGTCTGTCTTTGGATGATGACCTACGTAGACCACAGAACATGTACTCATTATGGTCATTAATTTTTTTTATAAGTGTGATTTTCATCATGATCATGAAGTGATGGAAGCACCCAGCATCCCAAATAAACAAATTCATTTCTTTAGAGTTGTGCAGGCCTACAGTTCCCTTGGCTGTAGCTTAAAGACATTAGAGGCATTCAGATTGTTTGTTTTCTGCTAAATTAAATATCTGCACATGACAAATCCCATTCTGCTGATTTTTTTGCTTGTTGCTAAACAGTGCAAAGTCCAGATCAGAATTTAACTTTTCAGCCTGTCAGAGTTGAGATAATGGAGTTTAGCCTTCTGAATACAACTGCAAATAGTTGCAATAATGTAGCTGGAAACACCGTATCTCCTGAACAATAGGTTGATACAATGGTCCGGTCAACCAACCACATGTGCTGCTGTAATATTTCACCCTAAGGCTATTTGACAGGAGTGAAAATAATAATTTGAAAAAAAAATGTATTATTTTTCCAACCAGCGCAAATAAATCTTCACCTGCAACTTTCCAGAAGGGAAGAAGTTGCTTCTTGCTGAAGTATGAAGTGTGCCCTCTTAGGAAATACATTCATTTAAGTCCAAAATATGTCCCATTGAGAGTTCATCTCAGATCTATCTGCATTCCAGCGAGTGCTTTGCTCAAGGACATATTCTCAGTTTTTTCTCAGTTGTTTTGTCTCATTTCCCTTTCCAGTGAGTTCATTGCCCTGAGACCAGAGAGTAGAAGTACATTTTTGCAGACGCTGCTTTCAGGAAGGAGTGCATTTTTTTCCTCTCCATTTATTTATCCATACTTCTAACTCACACATTCTCTCAGTGTGCATCAGGTTGTCGCTACAAACTTTGAATTTCACTTGTGTGATTTCCACTACTCAAAGTTTTTCTTTAATTGCAGTTTCAGAGTTTTAATCATCACATAGGTCTGTGCACCAGGATCCAGTTTACAATAAGCAATGATCCCTCTGTTTTCTAATTATCAGTCATCAATCTCCTGGTGCAATGCTGTCTAGTGCTTCTATGAATTAGTAGTCAGTAAGGAGAAGGACCTTACTATGCTATACAACTCTATCCTAGCAAAACAAGGACAGGCTTGCAAATTCTTCTAAAGTTGTATAATCGATTACATTTTTGCTTTTTTTTTGTTTTGTTTTGTTTTTCATATTGTAACATCTGTATTGCGTTGGGCTGGTTGTCACAGGAGGCATCGTGAGCTAGTCTTGCCAGAATTGTTTACTTCCCAGAGTATGTCTACTCTGTGCAAAGCAGCTCTTTGCAGAGATATCTAAGGGAGCCCTGTATGAGCTTGAGCAGGTATCAGAAGCACCAAAGGCATATCAAAGAAAATTTGCAAGACCAAGCTGTTAAAATTGCAAAAGACATGAAGTGTGGGACAGTGATTCACAGACCACTTAGGGAGAGAAAAAGGAAAGGAGCTTTCTTTTGTAGCTGGAAAGTCATGTTTAACCGAAGGACATGCTGAGGAGGAAGGGAGCTAATTTCATGGGAGAAACAATTCCCTGGCTTTGAGGAGAAACCATGAGCAATAAAACAATACCAGTTCTTCAGTGTGATGGTTCTTCAGCTTTCTTGAGGCAAACTGCTACTTACTTCTTATCCTCACCTCTCCCTCTTCCATTTATGTGACATTTGGGCTAAAGGAAATGCTGGAGGCAAGGGCAAAAATTGTCAGTGGAGCCGAAGGGGTTGCGGTCAGCTATTTGCGGAGGCAGCGACTGGAATGGTGTTGGTGCTTGGAGAGTTTGTGGGCATGAGAAGAGAGGGCTGGAAGGACACTGAGTTTCAGAGGAGGACTCTGTGTGAGGGAGTGAGATTTGGTCTCTGAGTTGATAGGAGAGGTATCGTACAGAAGAGACGTGTCCTATCTAACATTTCTTCCTTACTTTTTCTGCCTCCTTTCCTGGTGCCTTTCTGGCTAGTAAAGTGAGTACAGCCAAAAGGGGACAGAAGACTCAGGGATACTGTATGGCTCTGTTGAATCCTCTGGAGAAGTTGAGCGGGATCTCAGAACCATTCAGAACCATTTATAAAAGGCTGTATTTTTGTTATTGTAGGGAAACAGCTGTCCTAAGTCAGATGAATCACACCTTACAGGTTACATAGGTTCTACACTCTCCCCTATTGTATTTTCAGGAGAAAGTGCTGCCAGCTCCAGAAAAGTACAACTTAATATAAATTTGTTTTCCAGTCCCTGTTGCCTCCCTTTTTAATTATGGTTATGAGGAAGTGCTTTAATTTCAATGGGACAACAAATTAAGAGATTTTTCCATCTCTTTGAAGGTATATATGCACCTGGTATCTGTGGTTTAGCACAGGCTAAGGAGAGACTCTAGGGCCTTTTTTATGCAGTAAAATTCTGTACTTGTGCCACCAGTGGTTACTGGGTACAGCAAGAGAGGAACCTTGAATAAACAAGCCTCTTTCAGCCTCCTTGCTCAAAACAGATATATTTACACTAAATTTTGCCAACTGGGGCCTAAACACATACAGACAATTCACTGCTAGCTGTGTTAAGAGCTGTGGGAACTTTTAGAATAGTCCCTAGTGTAGGTGAGGGAATTTCCTGTTCGCTATCCTTATCATATCTTCAACACATGCAACGTTACTTTGGAATATCCCAATCTTCAAAACTGAACAAAGTGGCTGAATTCTTCGTAAATCAGTATTCTGCTCGAAGTTATGATATAAATGATTGTTTATAGTTGTTGAGGTTTTAATCAAATACAGAAATTATTTAGTTGGGTCAGTTGTTGCCTTTTCTTTTACCTTCCCTCCTCTCATGGCTTGACACTGGAAAGACAGGAAAGACAAATTTGGTCTTTCTGTAATATTAGTATACAGAGAGTCACATATTCATATAAATCAATCCTGTATTGATTTTCTCTACTTTCTTTCCAATTGCAAGGCAGACTTTTCCATGTTCCTTAGCAGGCTTTCTCCTGCAAATGTCCTGAGGTGTGGTCTAGGTGTGTTCAAATCTACCTTAGTCATTCGTCCGTCACCTTGTCATTAGCATGGCGTCTATATTTAATTGGGCTTCCTTCCTTCCTTCATCAGAAATCAGTTTTTATACACCATGAAAACTGCAGCCCATTATTAAAAGTTAGCTCTAAGTGAGATTCTTGGCTCTGATTTATATAAGAAGCAGTGAAAATAGTATCTCAAGTAGTACTTTTTCTGTTGAATGCTATACATGAAGAACACATTACGTGTCAGTCCAGTATACTGCCTCAAAACCTTCTATTTCTCCAGCTTTAGTCCATAAGCAACTTGTTTAAGAGGGGGTTTTTTTTTGCAATCTGTTGAGTTGCTTGATAGGTTGTAATTATCAACAACTTTCATTGGTTGCATCTTATCTCCCAGAAAATGTTCCTGAATTATTGTTGTGGTTAGTATTTTAATTGTGCTTAGAAACAGCATTGAGATCAGCACTCCCTCTATTTTGTGTAGAGTAAGTGTTGACCTCTCCCTGAAAATGCTTGCATTTTAAAGGGAAAATAAGATAAAATATTATTCTTGGTTTAGAATTGGAGACATGAGATGCTGTGCTTAGGGTTTGTGGCTCCTGATGGACATCAGTTTGACAATGAGCCAGCAATAAACTCTTGCAGGAAACACAGCCATAAACATCTTGAGCTGCATTAAGAAGTGTGTTGCCAGCAGGTCAAGGCAAGCCTTGATAAGGCAATCCAAGGCAATCCCAAGGGGATCCTTCCTCTCTACTCATCCCTGGTCTATGCATCTGAAGTGCTGCATCCAGTGCTGGGTTCCCCAATGCAAGAAGGACATGGGCATACTGGAGTGATTCCAGTAAAGTGCCACAAAGGTGACTGAGGTATTGCAGCATCTAATGTAAAAGGAGAGGCTGAGAGATGGAAATGTTTAGCGTAGAGAAGAAAAAGCATGTGGAGATCTTGCCAATGTGTATAAATGCTTGTTTTTTAATGGGAGGAGTAAAGAAAGAGATAGTCTTTTCTCAGTGTCATCCAGTGACAGAACAGGGGACAATGGGCACAAATTAAAATACAAGAAATTCCATTTAAATGCAGAGAAAACCTGTTTTGGTGTCAGTGTCATCAAACACTGAAACAGGTTGCCCAGAGAAAATGTGGAGTCTCCATTGTTGGAGGAAGTCAAGACCCAACTGGACACCATCCTCAGCAACTCACTGTAGATGACCCTGCTTTGAGCAAGGGGTTGGACTACATGGTCTCTAGAGTTCCCTTCTTCAATGCTTCTGTTGTTCTATGCCCATCAGCTTGCCCAGCAGTCACAGGAATTTATTATAGTGAGTAGATCTGAGTGCAGGATACCAGGCTGTCTGATCTGACCCAGCTGAACTTGGCACATGATCAGAGGGGCCTGCTCCCCACATGCCAGATCACAAGATAGTAAGTTGGTCTAAAGGCTTGCTCTATTAAACACCCACGTTCCTTGGCTTCCGCCCCCTGTCCCCAGGCCATGCTTGTAACTGGGATCAACTCCGTGCAATGGCATCCCAGTCACATTCCTTCTTTCTTGGGTGCAGGGCCATGCAGGTGGCCCAGAAGTTGCTATCACAGCTCTTGCTGCCAGTGGATTCCCCATGTGGGAGTGGATAGTCAGGCACTTTTATGGCAGCATTTGCTAATGTAGCAAAACAGTGTTTTAAGCCCTGTACCTGTTAGAAACTTCACTGGCTTCACTTGGAGACAATCAAGTCCAGGTATAGACATGCAGGAGACAAGCAGGCTAGGTCACAAAAATTCATATTGTCCCAGTACATCAAGCCTTGTCCTCTTGCCTTAATGGCAGCAATGCTATAGTCACTGGAAATTATCTTCAAGGTATTTCTCTGTAGTTACTACTGCTGATGACTCTCTTATTCATAAAATAGTAGATTTGAGGAAATGAGGTGTGTATGAATATTTGATATTAAGAAGTAGTAGGTTTAGTTTGAGGAAAATTGGTTTCAATCTAACCAGGGCAATCAGATAGTAATGAATAATAAAAAGTCACGTGTGAAGCATATATTCAGCAAAGTTAGGTGTCCAGTAAAACTAGTTTCAACATTGTTTGTACTACCTAATCTCTAAAATTATAATGTGTGAGTCACAGCCCTTAGATGATCTTAACCTTTACTAGAGGATACCCTGCTTTGTGTTGAGCAGCATAAACAACTGCACAAGGACCTGTGCAGACCTAGTGAATACAACAGGACCCTTTTGACTGTACTGTAAGTAATGCATTTTTTTTTCTGTGGAAAAATTCTCAAATGTTATATGCAGGACAACAGTTTCTGAATAATTAATTGAGAAATCGCTATGTTCATATTCAAGTAACAATTTAAAGCTTTTTGTATTGTTTTACTAGGATTTTGTTTTTTTAAATAGAAAAGGTATGTCCTCTCTGAGATAGGCATGGTTGTATAACATAACTCTCTTTAGGAAAACTGCATCTCTAAATCTTTTAGACAGTTAAATTAAGTCAGTGGATGACAATTACAAATGCAGGGCTTAAAATGAACTGGAAATGGTGACTTATGGATTGTTCCCTAAAGCTTTTAGAGAGTTTGGAAAAAAAGAAACTGTGTATAGAGGTAAAGACTAAAAGAATTAGAGTGATGGTGGAGCAAGTAATAAACAAATCAAAGAACTCAAATTAAAATGTATTCTAGATATGAAAGTGTACTGCCCAAAAGTGGTTGATCATGGGATTCAGGCCCATCCTAGTGATAGCAGTATTGCTATAACCACAATATTCAAAGGGCATGAATTAAGGAATATATAACTTATATTATTAAAGCAGAGATCAGCATTCTGACTTCACTGAATTTTGGAGAACCGAGACTCAGGAAAGTGAAGAACACAAATGCAGGGTCATAGTGGGAGATGATAAGGATTCAATGATCTAACAAGGCATGAGAGTTCTGATTATCATTTGTTATTACAACCTAATATATTTTTCCCCTTTGAAAATCCTTACATTTTCCTCTTACAGAGTACTTGATTTTATGAAAGATTTTGTAGGTAAAGTGATCATATACCACAGGAAGATGTTCTGGATTTCCAGATATTCCACATCTTTACTTCCTTCTGTCTGCTGATAAAAGTTGTTGAACCAAGTGTGGTACAGTTAGTATCAATTTCTAGAAATAAAAGTATTACCACAGATGTGGAATGGATTGTTTCCATACTGCTGTGGAAAAGGCTTTCCTGTTCTCTTAGTACCTTTCTTCCTCCAGAATTCACTCATTCATCTTCACATCTTATCATTGCAGCCTTTTCTGCCCAAATCACCCTTTACTATCTTTCTGATGATAAACACCATGATTGTTCTAGAGTTTTCTCTAGTTTTATTCATTTGCTTATTTATTTACAGTTTTTAGGTGATTTGGTTCAGTTACTTGACTGGACATGCCTTTGCATGCAGCAGGCACAGTTGTTTCCATTTGCTGTTCTATGTACATACTAATTTTCCCTTTTTTAATAAGCAACACTGTATTTCCAAGCTCTTGATAACTTCCTAATTGTTCAAAGCACATTTCTCTCTTTTGTTAGTGATGTGGAAGCTGTTTTTTATAAGATGGTGCTGAATTGTTCAAGCCCTATGGAATCACTGTAAATATTCATCACTTCCTCGTTAACAAGGACATTTATTTTCTCTTTGGTGCCTGCCTATATGTTTACACACAGCCTGTTCAAAAATGTATAATATTTTAATTCTCACAAGAGGAGGATATTGTGCCTTTCTTCTGCTTTAATTTTTCACCTTGCTAAATTTAACTGACTAGCCTTGACTGGCTCCCTTAACTTCTGCTCTTTAGACCTGTACTTTTGACTTACATTTTTTTGTCATTTAAAGCCACATTAAAAAAGAACACTGGAGACCAAACAGTTTCAAAGGAGTTGTAACCTAACCTTAATGAGGGCGTCTTTCATATTACTTCATCCCTCTTTGACTTTAATTTTTATTCTTTCATAACTTCTGCAGTAGATTGAGTAATTTTTCGGAGTCTGTTTCCTTGAAATAGAAAGCTGGTATCCCCGAATTCAAATGTCTTGGAATCACTAGTACCCAGACACCTTTGTACAGTAAAGGGATTGACTTATTGCTAAGCACAAGGTAAAAAGAATTTTAAGCCAAATATAATTTTTCTTTTCTTCTTTTACAGAGTTATACAAGCATGAAGATGTTGTTTTTCCTGTGTCTTTTTATTGTTGGGATTCATTCCAATGGTTATTGCTATGGGCCTAATCACCAAGGTGTAAGAAACCAGAATCAAAGAGGCCAAGAAAATCAAAACATGCTACAGCAGACTGTAGGGAACAGTGTTTGTCGGTTTGCCTGTTGTTTCTACAAAGAGATTTCTTCTCGTGAAAACAGTGGGAATGTTTTCTTCTCTCCTTTGAGCATCTCTACTGCCTTTGCAATGCTGACTCTGGGTGCCAGATCAGACACTCTGGAACAGATTCTTAGGGTCCTTAGCTTTAACCAACGTGAGATTTCTGAAAATGAAATACATGAAGGTTATCGTCAACTCATGCAAATGGTAAACAGAAAAAATGAGGGTTTACAGCTGAATATGGGAAATATCCTGTATGTGCTTGACCAACTAAAGCCACAAGAGAATTTTTTAAGTAATCTCAGAAACTTCTATGAAGGAGAAGTTTATCCTATGAACTTCAAGAGGGCTGATCAAGCTCAGATAAAGATCAATGAATATGTAGCAGGAAGAACCAATGGGAAAATCAAGGACCTCATAAGTAACCTTGATCCACTTACTGAAATCCTCCTTATTAGCTATATTTATTTTAATGGTAAGATATGCATATCATAGTCTCCTACTTCATACATTAGTCTTTACAATATGGTTTTGCAGATGGACTCATATTTTGTTTTCTTTTTGATCCTCACTGATAATTATTAACAAAGCTATTGGAAATTACATTCTGCTTGATATTGATGATAATTCCCAGTAAAATTTATGGCATATTTTCCTATATCTTTTAATGTATACATTTCTTTC